GGATCGAGCCCCGCATCGGGCTCCCTGCTTGGCAGGAGGCCTGGCTTCTCCCTCTTCCACCCCCCTCTGCTTGTGTTCCCTCTCTTGCTGTGTCTCTCTCTGTCAAATAAATAAATAAATAAATCTTTTTTTTTTTAAAGATTTTATTTATTTATTTGAGAGAGAGAGAATGAGAGATAGAGAGCATGAAAGGGAAGAGGGTCAGAGGGAGAAGCAGACTCCCTGCCGAGCAGGGAGCCCGATGCGGGACTCAATCCCGGGACTCCAGGATCATGACCTGAGCCGAAGGCAGTCGCTTAACCAACTGAGCCACCCAGGCGCCCCTAAATAAAATCTTAAAAAAAAAAAAAAAAGAACAGGGTGGCAGGTATTAGGGATAATATTCATTTAGCCTCCTGAGCTTTCTAGACAGAGCAGATTGGTGATCTTGCCACTTTTGACAGCCTTCTTGTCCACTGCTTTGGTGACACCCACAGCAATGGTGTATGAGAGATAGAGAGCATGAAAGGGAAGAGGGTCAGAGGGAGAAGCAGACTCCCTGCCGAGCAGGGAGCCCGATGCGGGACTCAATCCCGGGACTCCAGGATCATGACCTGAGCCGAAGGCAGTCGCTTAACCAACTGAGCCACCCAGGCGCCCGTAAATAAATAAATCTTAAAAAAAAATAAAAAAATTTCTTTTGAAGACTTCATCCATTTTTTTGACAGAGAGAGAACGCACGCACACAAGTAGGCAGAGTGGCAGGCAGAGGGAGAGGGAGAAGCAGGCTCCCCACCGAGCAGGGAGCCTGACGCTGGGCTTAATTCCAGGACCCCGGGATCATTACCTGAGCCAAAGGCAGACACTTAACCGACTGGGCCACCCAGGCGCCCCTAAATAAAATCTTAAAAAAAAAAAAAAAGAACAGGGTGGCAGGTATTAGGGATAATATTCATTTAGCCTCCTGAGCTTTCTAGACAGAGCAGATTGGTGATCTTGCCACTTTTGACAGCCTTCTTGTCCACTGCTTTGGTGACACCCACAGCAATGGTCTATCTCATATCACAAATAGCAAAACAACAACAAATATTTCAGAGGGGGATAGTCATAGAAGCTCTCAACATACTGGGCTTGCCAAAAATCATATTAACAATTTAGGAGTTTGGGTCCATCTTCCAGCTTCTTACCAGGATGGTAATCAATCTTCTCCTTCAGCTCAGCAAACTTAGAGGCATGTGAGCTGTGTGACAATCTGGCACTGATGCATAGCCAGCCCTGATTTGGCCCAGACAGTTCAGGATAACCACTTGAGCCATGGTAAATATCTCTGACAGGCACATCCTCGACACGCTGTTCCCAGAAAGAGCTTCACTCAAAACTTCATGGTGCATTTCAAAAGACTTCACTTCAGTTGTAACAATGACCAGAGCAAAGGTGACCACTACGTTGGGTTTGAGAATATTAGTATCTAGTTGGCCAACCGGGACAGTATCAATACCAGGATGTAGTCATCCTGGAGTAGCAGACTCAAGGGCTTGTCAGCTGGACAAGCTGCTGAGAGAAGGCAATCCACAGCTTTAAGTAGCATGGTTCCACTGGCATGGCCATCTTCCTGGGTGACTTTCTACCCCTTAAACCAAGGCATATTAGTACTTGGGTCCAGCATGTTTTCACTATTTCAACCAGAAACTTGTACAAATGCTACTGTGTCAGGGTGGGAGCCAGTTTTCTTAATGTAGGTGCTGACTTCCCTAATGATTTCCTTGTATCTCTTCTGGCTGTGGTGTGGCTTGATAGAATCCATCTTATTAACACCAACAAATAGTTGTTTCATACCCAATGTGTAAGCCAAAAGGGCACGCTCATGAGTCTGCCCATTCTTGGAGTTACCTTTCTCAAATTCACCAAACATCAGTAGTAATAATCAGGACAGCACAGTCAGCCGGAGATGTGCCTGTAATCATGTTTTTGATAAAGACTGTGTCCTGAGGCATCACTGAGGGTCACATAATACTTGCTGGACTTTAATTTCCACAGGGAGGTATCAATGGTGATACCATGCTCACATTCAGCTTTCAGTTTATCCAAGAGCCAGGCATACCATCTCCGCAGCCACCTTCTCAAATGTTTTGATCCCATCACATTTGTGATCAAATGGCCAGTAGTGGTGGCCTTGTTTTCCAATGACAACAATGTTGATATAAATCTTTTCCTTTACCATTCTGGCATGGCCTTAACAGTGGTTTCCACGACACTTGTGTTCTGGTGGCAAACCCACTACAAAACGCAGGGATGTTCTTATGGGAAGATTTCTGATGACTGATTGAATTTATTCAACGGTTATAGGATTATAAGGTCCTCAACTTTTAATTAGAGCCATTTTAGTTACTTGTATTTTTGAGGAACTTTACCGTTTTGTCTTCATCTTCAAATTTATTGGAATAAAGCTGTTCATATTATCCTTTTATAGTCTGCAACACCTGTAATCACATCTACCTTCTACATTTCTAATACTGTTTATTTATGCCTTTTTTCTTGATCAATCTCATCTAAAGTTTATCAATTTTATTATTTCCTCAAAAAAGAAAAACAAAACAATGTTTCCTTTGTCGAACCCTTCTATTGTAAGCCTGTTCAGTCTTGTGGTTATGTTTTTTGTCCAATTTTCTTTTTAATGTGGTAAAAATTAACATATAAAATTTACCATCTTAACCATTTTTTAAGTGAAAAGCTCGGTAGGATTAAGTTTTTTTT